AGGTTAAAACTAATTGCAATGTAAGTTGCAACATTAAAAGTTGCAACATATTAATTACAGTTCCCATCTTTATTCCAGATGTATATATAAAGATCATATAAAATTTATAAAATTTTTTTCTTTAAATACATATTTTTTAAAATTTTACTATAATCCTAAAAGAAATATATTTAAAGAGGTCTTAATATATATATTAATATTATAATTATATTTATTTCAATAATTATTTTATCAAAAATATAAAATAAAATTCAAAAGATATAATACAAAATATAAGTAATAATTAAATAATTATGTAATTTATAATTTTATCAAAATAAGAATTTATATAAATAATATTTATTTTCTATATTAAGTAATATTATAGAAATATAATTTTACTTAGTATTATAATCATTTTTTACTTTTTTACTTATTACAATCTTATAATATTTTAAATTATTATAATTTAGCTAATAATTTAAAATAATAGCAATAAAATAATAAAATATTTATTTTAATATTTTTTTTAAAATAACTTGAAGGTAAATATAGTTAAAAAAAATTATGTATTTTTATGTATAAGATTATATATAGTAAATTAATATTTAAAATAAATCATATATAAAATAAATAACATCAAAGAATTATAATTTTAGAATTCAATATAATTAATGATATCTGACTAAACTCTTTTTTGAAAAATTGTAGTTTCGTCAAAAGTTTCGTCTCTTTTATATTTTTATATAAATAAATATAAAGTTATTATATTTTTTAATGTATTTTGATTCAAGGAATTTAGATCAAGTTAAATATAATTTTGACAATTAAGTAAAATAATTTTGTCATTAATAAAAAACTAGTTTTGTCATTTTAGTTTTGTCAATTTCGTTATATTAAAAAAGATAATTTTATCAGATATCACTAAATATAATGATTCTTAATATTAATAAAAATCTTGTTAAAATAATTGTTAAAATTTTTTAGTTTTATATTATTACTTAAAAAATTTGATATCTATTTTCTGATAAGAGATTAAGTTGTTTATATAATAAACTTCAAAATAATTAATGTTATATTTTTAATTGCTATTGTTATCTATTATTAAAGATAATAATTTATTACAACCTTTAAATTAAATCATATAATAAATTATTTACTTAATATAATTATTATAATATTATACATAAGTAGATTTATAAAAGATTATATAAAATAAATGATAATTTTTATAATATAAGAGTCAATATATAATAGTATAAAATAAAAGTAATAAAATAAGAGGAAAAATGATTATGTAATAGAAAATAATAAAAAATAAAATAAAAAAAGGTTAGATTATAGAATATATATAATAATAAATAGATTATTTATCAAATGTGAAGTAGAGTAAAAATGGGGATTTTGTGACAAAAAAATCATAATAGTATATAAGAAATATATTTTTTTTTTGAGTATAATTAAGCCTTTTGATATAAAGAATGATATTATATTATATAGCCTTTCTAGCCTAATTTAAATTACTTCTAATATATCAAAAAAAATATGTTATTTAAAAAAGTATTGAAAGTATAAAGAATATAAAATATCTGAAATACTCAAAATGTAATTTTACAAGCTTAATTAATATAAATAGCAATTTTATATTCTATACTGCAAAGCATTGAAAGTATAAAGGATATAAAATAGCTAAAATGCTTAAGATATGATTCAACAAGTTAAATATGCATACTAATTTATATGATATTTTACAATTAATTCTAAATTCATTATAGAATATATAAGATCAAAATGTCTTATTTTTAGATACATATATACTAAGTCTTATCTCATAGAGATAAGATTTAACTGATATCAGATTATTAATTAAAGACTGATTGTGTGTTTTCTAATTTACCATATTTCTAATATACTAGAACAAACTTTAGAGCCAATTCTTTAATATATTTCTAAGACAAAAAGGTCTCACCTTTGGATATATATATTCTAAATTTCACCACTAAGTCTTACTTCAAGAATGAAAAAATAGTCTTACCTTAATAATGATGCTTGTCAAAACTATTTTCATTATCCTAAACTAGTTTTCATAAATTAGTTTTACTAAGTTTTGGCATTTTGAGCAGTATAATTACTCGAGATATAAAGTATCTATTCCTATTGGTACTAAAAGTGTTAAAAACAGACAAAGTATTTTAACTTTGTTACTATTACCAAGGCTCTTAAAATAAAAAATGGTTCTGAATGTCTTCTTGTATAGCCAAATTAGTTAATAAGGATTCATAATTAAGGGTGATTGTGAGAAAATATTAAAAGAGCATGATACAAAATTCCAGAAGGCCATATCTAAGCGTAGTATAAAAGATTTAATTGAATACAACAAGTGAGATTGTTTAAATCCCAAGATGCATGTGAATTATTAACATTACATTTATCGTAAATGGATAGAAAATGATCAAATTATTGTTGATTATGAAAATAATTCTATAACTCACCTTCTTGGTATAACTACTGCACCTCGAAAAGGTACCTATGGGATTTGATGAAGAGTTATTAACTAAAGTTGCATGTTGACTTAAGATATTCGAGGATTGACGATTATAGATTCCAAGTAAATATTTCAATTATAGAATTTGGTTCTACCGGCCACTTATCCATCACTTCTTAATCTAAAATTTTGAGACGTAAGATGCTTGTTCTGGACGCAATATTCGGCAAGAACACGATAATTTATGGTTAACCTTTAACGTAAAAGAGCAAGATATATTAATGTTCTATCTTTTTTTCGATAAAATTGCATTATCATACACAGATTTATTTTTACGAAAAAAAAATATTAATAGCGGTACTGAATAAAAAAATTTAAATCATTTTATTTTGCAATTTAGATATGATATAATTAATGCCGTTTATCGTAGTACGAATTGTTATATTTATTTTAGTGAAACTTATGATTTTTATAAAACAAGCTCCGATTGAAGGAATTCAAACGGTAAATGATAGATATATTGTTGCGATTTATCGTATTTTTAACAAAGTTATAAACCAAATATTCTAATCGTACAACCATCATTTCATTCACAATTCATTTCCTATTGTCACCCAATAATCTCTCAAATTATTTTTACGTCCAAATATCTCCAAATAATTTCCTATAAAAATTAAGCGTAAATAACAAATAAAGCAAGCAACAAGAAATTTAGTTGTCAAAAACAAACCCTACCATTAGGAACCAACTCTTCAATCATCTCATATAATTCCTCAGGCTTTTGGCTTTGTCCTCGTCTTTCTGAAAATATCACATCTGAAGAAATCGAATGATTACATTCTGGAGGGTCTTCTCCCTTTGTTGAAATTATAAATAAATTTATTATATTAATGAAACATGGTAACCAAGAAAATTTCTTTACCTTTCTTCCCATTAAACATGTCTCTTTCGCGTGTTGCAGATAAAATCCATGACCTTTAGCCATTCTTCTATTCACCGTTTGCTTTACCCATGTGATATCATCACAGTACCTAATGCAAGAAAAAACGCAACAAATGAACATTCGTATATATTGAAACAAATTACAATATTTTGTTCATCGAAAACAATCCTTACGTGTAACCCCATTTTTTCATCATGTCAAAGGCTTTAGAATATTTATTATTAATGACCCAGATAAATAAGAATCCATTTTTCTGTAATTGAGGAATCGGCAATTCCTCGATACAAACATCCGGTAATTGTTGATAAGCTATAGCCACCTTTGTATTTTTATATAAATATATATACACCAAAAAAATAAAAAATAACAAACTTTTTTTGGTGAGAACAATTACACGAACCTTTAATCTGTCATTCATTTGTTGCTATAAGAAAGAATGACAAGAGAATTCATATAATACTCTACACCGCGTGTTGGGGCATGTGTTGCTAATTGCCAAGGCGGATCCATTAAAATTACATCAAATTGACATTCTTTAGCGAGTTCCTATTTGTGGACAAGAAATTATTAAAAAACGCGTAAATATTAAAAAAATAGTGAAAATTAGAATTCCGGAATTGTACTTACATCCCATTCAAATGTTAATACATCGGCTTTTATAGGCACACACCATTCTGGAGCTTCAAATTCTTCCCAACAAACCTCTAATTATATAGTTTTATAAAAAGTTTGGTTTAAGTCTTTAATCATTTTCAAAATTCTAACAAAATCTTAATAATTCATTACCTTCAACAACTTCTTTTTTAATTCCATTCCGTTTAGTTTCTTTATTTTCTTCTTCATTACCACCATTGCTTTTACTTCTATTTCTTGCAATGGCTTCTAAATTCGTAATTTCTTCTATTAATTCATCAATTTGTAATTTTAATTCCGTTTCTCTATCTAAAAGAGTTTTTAATCCGGCTTCTAATGTAGAATCTTTTGATACATTATTAGAATGGTTAGTAGTACAGTCGACTCCACAAGAATATGTGAAACAAGTGTCATCAACGACGTTTATTAGTGGCGATTTTTCGTTTTTTGACATGATTAAATTCAGTCGCGTAAAATTGATTTTTATGAAGACCTTTTATATGGATCTTTCAAAGAATTTGATTGGCCGAATTTCCCGATCCATGACGTTTATTCATTCAATTTATACCGTATAGTCCCGAAAATAAGCACCCACATTTATCTATACTAAAAAAACAAGCATCTCTTGATAGTATCTCGGTCAATTTCCATGAAATTTATACTATTCGATTCTAATCATTACAAGAATCCAATGAGCTAAATTTTATTATTCCGTGACCACTAACTAAATCACGAGATATTGACGATTGAAGTTTTGATACTAAAAATAATACATAAGCATTTACACACTAAAATGGGTGCTTATTTTCGGGACTATATAATAATAATTGTTTTATAATATTTTTAATTTTTAATTAGTTATTGTTGTTTGCTATTATTACTTGCTTTAAAATATAATAAATAGGACCTTAAAAGGGGAAACTGCCAGAAAAATCATTTTTATTTTTATATGCAAAAAATAATTTTTAGATTAAAACATGTTCAAATTTAGCATTAACTTATTTTTTATTTTTCTGGTAGTTTCCCCTCATTCTATTACAAAGATCCCAAATTATATAAGATAATTTTAAGCCAAAAATTTAAAATTTGCAATTTTTAAAAGTATTAAATTTTTAGTTTTTTTTTATTACATTAATTGACAATCTGCGAATCAGCTAAACAAAATGATTAACAAACAATAAAAGAATTTGATGGAAATTATTAAATATAAATCATATTTTTTAATGTGAAATTGTTTGTTAATTTCACTAGCCAAATATCTAAAAAATATCAGTTTTCTTCAAATCTTTTAGGAACTAGACTTATATCCTTAATATTATATTATGTATTTTTGCACAAGATTGGTGAGGAACTGTTTATTTAGATTTAGAAATAAAATCTCATTTTTTACCATATCATATTATTTAAATATGTGTATTTGTTGCAATCTCAATGGCAAAGACTTCATAATTACAGTTATTCAAAATGACAAAAATAAATATAAGCCTGATTTTTAATGTACTTGTGAGAGAATAAGTTCAAAAATAGAGTCTTTTTCTTTAACAACTATAAACTCATGTTATAAAAATATTTTTGGAACTAAAACTGAATATTCTAATATAGCAGTCATTAGTTTTAAGAATGAAAATATTATTCATCAATTACTTGATAAAGTATGATTTTTTCCAATATTTCTTTAGATTAAAAATTTTTTAATTGTAGTATCTAGTTTTAGTCATTTATTTAAAAATAGCTATTATGAAGTTAGAACAGGTTTTACTTCTTTTTTCATTATATGATATTAAAGTATATAACACTTATTTTTATTGAAATTGGAAGATAATCAGTATCTTTTAGAAATATATCATAATACGGATAAAATTAAGCAGTTCACTGAACTAACGCCAAATGATATTTGAAATAAGTTAGTATATAGTTAACCCTCTATATAGTCACCTTCAATATAATCACACCCTTTCTTTAGTCACATTATAATTCTGCCCCAATTTTTAAATAAGAAAATACCTCTTTTATAATCACAATAATATATAAAAATATAATTACATTAATTTTTAGTTTCATCTTATAATAAATGAAAAAAATCACCTCCTATATAAATACATCAAATTATACCTCTTATATAATCACAGCAAATCATATTTATCTCTTCAATGGTTTTCCTTTCAAATTTAGAAGGAATTTTACTTATACTTTAAAGTTAATTTTAAACATATTAAAAATTAGTTGTTAAATTAATAATATTATTATAATAAAATTTATGATGTTTTTAAGTAAAATCAAAAAAAAAATTACATTAATTAGTAACTTTTTGCATTAATTTAAGGTCAAAGTTTCAAAAATATTTTAATAAAAGTATTTTCTTTATAAAAGCTAAAATTTTTAATTTTTAATTATTTTTATAATATTAAAAAAACTTTACAAAATATATAAATTTAAATTTAAAACATTTATTTATATATTTAAATATTATTTATTTATAAAAAAATCATAAATTTAAAGTTGAAAAATTTGTA